TTGAGATCCTCTAAAATGTCCAACAACTGGTCTCCTCAGGTATTTTAAAACGTCCAACATCTGGTCTGTTGAGATCCTCTAAAATGTCCAACACCTGGTCTCCTCAGATCCTCTAAAACCTCCAACAGCTGGTCTCCTCGGTTCCTCTCAGACCTCCAACAACTGGTCTCCTTATATCTTTTAAAACTTCCAACATCTTGTCTCCTCAGATCCTCTAAAACCTCCAACAGCTGGTCTCCTCATGTATTTTAAAAAGTCCAACATCTGGTCTCCTCAGATCCTCTAAAACCTCCAACAGCTGGTCTCCTCAGTTCCTCTCAAACCTCCAACAACTGGTCTCCTTACGTCTTTTAAAACTTCCAACATCTGATCTCCCCAGATCCTCTCAAACCTCCAACATCTGGTCTCCTTACATATTTTAAAACCGCCAACATCTGGTCTCCTCAGATCCTCTAAATCCCCCAACAGCTGGTCTCCTCAGGTCTTGTAAAACGTATAACATCTGGTCTCCTCAGATCCTCTCAAACCTCCAACATCTGGTCTCCTCAGATCCTCTCAAACCTCCAACATCTGGTCTCTTCAGATCCTCCTAAACCTCCAACATCTGGTCTCCTCAGTTCCTCTCAAACCTCCAACATCTGGTCTCCTCAAGACCTGGGCGTTGACAGAAGATAGGACGCTCCACAAAAGAGACATAAACATGGAACAACCTTTTTGAGATGTGTTGCTGCCACAAAATTCAAATTTACCGTATTTTCTCCCCCAACAACGGGACAGTTTCTTAGTTTACACCTTTGATACGATCAATATGCTCTATTGTGAATTAAATACGAGTTTATGAGATTTACAGATCATTGGATTCTTGTTTTATTTACATTTTACACAATGTTCAAACTGGGATTAGGGTTTGTTGCATCCTCGTTCTACAGTCCTTCGGTTACAGAAGTCCAGATGTTTTTTTATGAACCTAAACCCTGCAGGAGTAACTAAATTCACCTGCTGGGTGGATGTCTTTATGTAAAGCAGCTTGACCTCAGATAAAGGTTTGGATGACTAAACTCCAACTGGCAATGAGCAGCAGATGAAGGGTGGGGGGTGACGGGTCACTGGTGTGCAGGCAGACAGTCAGACAGACAGATGCAGCCAGAAAACATGGGAAAGGAAGACTTACTAACTGTTTTTGTCCCCTGCGGGAGGGTGCAGCCCGACACGGACTTGTTTGAGCTCGGACGTTTAGAAGGGTCAAGAGTGACCCTACGAGGCAAGAGGAAGAAAGAAGGCAGTGAGGTGAAGATGGGAGGAATGGAAAAGGAAAAGTCCAGAAAGACATTCGATGAGAGAAAAAGCAAGTGAGAGGGACAACCGAACGACAGAGAGTAAGAAGCACAGGTAGAAGAGAACGAATTAAACAGAATGCACTGTAGTTCTGGGGAAAGAGAAGGGACAGAAGATCGGCAGGTGACTGGCAAGAAAAAGCCAAAGTTGTTAAAGAGTCAAATAAACAGATAAAGCAACAACAAGCAGACCGTTAAAACATACAATAAGCCCCGAGGAGCGCAGACCTGGGTCAAATAGTCCGGTTTTATAGACTGAGGTAACGCTCGCTGGCATCAGTCCACCAAACTAAACTAAAAGCCAGGATGTGATTAAATGTTTTTAATTTAAAATTGATCAACATTTTATAGATGTAACTGGTGAGGACAGCGTGCTGGAGCAACACTGTGAGCCTCATTCACCTCAACATCATCACCACCTGCCGCCGCGAGAGAAAGTGGAGCGATACAGCGTTTACTTGTACCTGCTGAAGCTCTGTTAGCAAAATATCTCATGAACTACCGGAGAGATGTTAATGAATCTTTCAGGAAGTAACTGCGGGATGTACTGATTACCTTTAGAGTCTGCCCACTTCAAGATGGCCTCCACTTCCACTAAAACGGAGGTACCTCAGGCAATTTTAAAGATTCTGAGCTAAACTTTGGTGTTGGTAGTAGCTGAGACTCATCCACAACACGTACTTTGAGGGCTAACTGACTGCACAACATCTATGTTGCAAATTACAGTCAGAACAAAAGTAGTTGTTAGCGAATTATTTCATGAATCACCGAACATTTTGGTGAAACAACATTTAAATATATAAACTGATTAACTTGTGGAGTCAGCCCAATTCAAGATGGCCACCATAGCTAATCAACTTTAGCAAACACAAAAAGGGCTAAACGTCAGTGAACATCCTAGATATTGAGAAAAAATGTGGTGTGGTTGTAACTGAGCACACACAACAGCTTGGCATTAACGTATACAGTCAACCCTGTGTTAGCAAAATATCTCATGAATCACTGGACAGATTGTAATGAAACTTGTTTCAAAATGGCTACACCTCAGTGAACATTGGTGTGGTAGTAGATGAGTCATTCACAACACAAGCTGCAAAACGTTAATTTCAAGGTTCGACCAAAACAACTTTCACTGTCGTTTCTCGTAGTTTAAAACTTTGGGATGAAAGGCGGCGGGCGATATGCATTTCTTCAAGGAATGCTGGGCTGTTCTTCTTTTACTAAAAATAGGCAGCGAGTGTCACCGCTGATGAAAGGCCGTCACAAACTGCAGAACTGGGACGTGCAAAAATATTTACGAGTCATGTCAAAACCTCAAATCTTTTCATTCAACGTAAAGTCACGTAAACCGTTTATCTCCAGCTTTTACTTCCTGCTGGTTTTGATTAAAAACTTGCAGGAACCGAGCTTCATCTAAAGGTCTGTAGGAGTGAGCTACACTGAATAATCCTTCATCTTTAATTTGAGCAAGTTCAACAACGTTATTAAAGCACTATTAGACCCAGGTCTAACATCAGCGATGTTAACATCTGAAGCTTGTTCAACATATTGTATTTTGTTAAGGCTGGTTTGTTAGTAAAGGTTATGGTAGAGACTGTGAGAGGCAGCAAGGTTAGCCAAATCATATTAGCTTTGCACCAAGAAAAGTAAAGTCTGCAAACATCGGAGTGAAGCACAAACTCTAAAAGGTCTTTTATAATTTATAATCACTAATAATAAGTTATGAGCCTTTTCATCTTATTTCAACAGTTTGAACTCATTCTGTTGAACACGGAACATAAAAACTCTCCCAGGCTTCTCCCCTTACCTGCGGGTCAGCTTGGAGGTGAGTTTGCTGAGCAGGTTAGCCGTGGCCCGGGTCCTGACGTGAGGCAGCGGGCTGGCGTTGTGAGATGGGGTGGGTGATGGCAAGGGTGTGTGGGAGGGGGTACGACGGTCTCTGATCTGCCCCCCGTGGAACGTGCTCCTCACGGTGGATCCCCTGGAGAGACAGGACGAAGGTGTGGAGGATGAGGAGGAGACCCCGGAGGCGCCAGCGATGCTGTGGGTGGAAGGTGAGGCGGGGGGCAGGCGGTGGGATATGGTGCTGAACGGAGAGAGAAAGAACCGACAGTTAGGTTCTGGAGTCACGATAACTACACGCTACAGAACTAAGAGGTTGTATCAATGTTTGATCAATATTTCAGTATTTTAGCAGAAATTTGAATTTTTATTATAAAAGTTATTCAGTGAAACAAAAAAAAAAAAGTCCTGAAATCCACAGGCAACCTTTGTAGTTTATTATTAACCTTTATTTAACCAAGCAAATACCATATACTCTTAATAAACTTACTCTTTATCGGTGACATGAAGTCGATTTAAGTGGAACACTGTTTCACTTTGATTGAGATAAACAAATTAACAGAACTAGAAAAAAAAAAAAAGCACAGGAGCCAGTGAGATGACCCGTGTTTGTCCAACAACTTCTCAAAATTAAATTCAGACACATTTGAAGGTGAATGTTCAGCAGCTCAACCTTTGAGTTCAGCTCATGAAAAACAGGAGCAAAAACAAAAGCGTTGCGTCGATCAGTATCCAGGAAAAAACAGTTCGCGTGAACTCATTTCTCGAGCACAAATTACCGTATTTTTCAATGTATAAATCGCACCTTTTTGCATAAATTTGAAAGTTCTGCGACTTATACACCGAAGCGACTAATATAAATTTTTCCCCATACTTATAACCCAATTATTGGCAGAGATCTGACGATTTCATTCATTCTGACATGGAAATATTGAACACTACCATTTTCAGCCACTAGAGGGGACTTGACTAATATGGCAAGCCAAGTGTCTCACTAACAGGTAAACGTGTTTATTAATGAGACACTTGGCTTGCCATAGACCAACACCTTCGTCTCGCTCCAAAACTCCTGTAGCAAACGTCAGATCAGCTGAATTTCACCTTGGCGGCGCGGCCAACTGAGACACACCGTAAAGTCGAGCAAACAAATAATTGTTTTTAGGCGTTAATCTTGTTAAATTTCGAAGAAATGCACAGCGAGTCCTCCCTCTGTGTGCTCTTGCTTACGCAAATCAATTTTTGAAATGCAGCTGATTTGACGGTCAAAGTGCATTTATTAAGGAAAATGTAAACTGAGACACACCTTTGCTATATTTTCGAGCAAACAAATAATTGTTTTTAAGGGTTAATCTTGTTAAATTCTTGTTAAAGTCCTCCCGTGCACATTCCAGCGGCTGCATTTTGGCACCCAATCCATTTTTGGCACAACACTGGCCCACATTTCCGGGTGGTCAGCAGTGACGCGTAATAGATGCAACTTATACGGCGAAGCAACTTATTTATGTCCGTTCCACTTTATTAGACATATTTGGACTGATGCGACTTAATAATGTTATACTTTGCAACTTTGTCTCGTCTTCTTTCTCTTTTAATAACTGAAATGATCTTTACATCAAACAGCATTTTTTTAAAGATCAGGATTTCAAGTGTTTTTAGGCACTTCATCCAAAACAACAGCTACCCAACTTTACAATACAACTTTATTTATAAAGCTCTTTAAAAACAACACCGTTGGCCAAAGTGCTGTAGACTAACACAAACAAGCATAAAAACCATAAAATCAACAGATACCATAAAAGTAATGAACTAACTAAATAACTTAAAAACAGTAAAACCAACATTTCAAGCTGAGTTAAAGCCAAAGAGAAAAAACGTGTCTTCAGAGAAGATTTAAAAACAGGAAGTGAGTCAACTTGTCTGATGTGCAAAGGCAGCTCGTTCCATGGCTGAAACTTATTGGACTGGATTTTAAACATGTTCAAGGATTTCAATTCAATTCAGTTTATTTATAAAGCACCAAGTCACAACACAAGTCATCTTTCCAGGACTCTTTCTGAGTTGTGTCGATGTTCTTCTGAATTATGGAAAAAACAAACAAATAAATAAAAAACATGCTAATGGTTTATTTTGTTGTTGTTTATCTGATGTGTATTTTTCCACATGGTTCAACAGTCTAAGAAGTTCTGCACACTTTGTGAATTTAACTTTATTTATAAATATTGTTTCTCTAGAAAACCAACGAGTTCTCTTCAACTCTTTCAAAACCTGCTTCAGCAAAACTGGCTCTACTTTTGTTTACTTACATTTCTTTTAGCTACTGTTCTGCTACTTAGCTTTTAGCCAGCATTTTGCTCCTTTTACCTAAACCTTTTGCTAAATTTAAATTTTAACTATAGACGTTTGCTTTTTTTCAGCTTTAGCTTAGCTCCCGCTTAATGAGCTTTTACAGTAATTTGCCTTTTGCTACAATTAGCTTTTAGCTAGCATTTTGCTAGTTTTAGCTCCTAGCTACGGTTTTGTTAGTTTTAAATTCTAGCTACAGGTTTTAACTATTTTTAGCTAACTTTTTGTTACTTTTAGCTAGCGTTTCACAGCTGTTAGTTAGTGCTTTGCTACTTTTATGTGGCATTTAGAAACTTATTTCTCTTCTTTAACTTCTTTTAGCTTGAACAAGTGATTTCCGGCTGTTTCAGCAACTTCTAGCTGTCATTCAGCGCTCAGTGTTGGATGTATTCTTTCATTTCTGGACTAAAAACACCTGACCGAGTTCAAGAATTGTGTTTTTATGTTGCTGCACCGACCAAAGGTTGTTCTGTATTCAAACCTCATTTCTGCCTTATGAGCCCCTTCGTTCTCCCCCTCCTCACACTTTGTCTCACGTACACACCCACACACGAACACCCGCTCCCGCTCCTGACTGGGGGCCTGAGGCTGCTGTTCATAACGCTCCAGATAACAGCCACACAGCTGAAGTGGGACGGATCCATTAGAGGAGTTAAGTATAAAAGCAGCCGTTGAAGAGCAAAATCTATTACATCAATAGAAACTGGCAGCCCACTAAGGCTCACTCGGAGGAGGGGGGGTCACACTGGAGGTGGGGGAGGCAAGAAGAAGAAGAAGAAAAATAAAAAGAGAGAAAATGTTGCAGAACGTGGTCGAAGGTTTTTAAATTTACAGACACAGAAAACTACTTGAGCTGTTGATTGAATGAAGACGCATCCTTGTGAGTAATACAAGCTTTAAAAACAGTTTTTATAAAAATGATCATTTTATGTTAATTATTAATCAAATATTTATGATAACCGACTATATGGTGCAGTGATGCCGACATTGTTCTCTCATCTCTTTTAAATCTGCTTTGTTTTACCGTTTCGGTCCGTTTCATCGTCTGCCTGCACACTTTGTGACAAAAGTACCGTTTGTTTTTATATTAATTTAATATAATAAGACACGCAGTCAGGAACATTCTGGTTCTGTTTTGAGATGAGAATGTGGCGTTGTATTGACGAGACCTCTGGGACACGTCCACGCTCACTTCACCCGCTGAGAGCTCGGTTTATCTCCCCTCTCTTCCAGCCCCTAACATTTCCTCATCTAGTCAGTTTTCACCTCTGATTTCTCCTCGTTCTGTCGGCGGATCAGGACACAGGACTGTCATGTCTCCGTCCAACAGGGTGTCCGATGTTGGACAGTCCAAGTAAACAGAAGACGTGAACCTTTTCTTGCACAGCAGTGACTCTGCGTTTTGTTCAAAGCACCAGCTGATGTCGTTCTCTGGTCTCTTTTGTTCCGGCAACATATTTGTGCTTCTAATGACGTCACGCTGCACGAGCTGCTTGTGTCACAACATTTTTGTTTGTTTACTCTTCTGTGCAACCGCAAATTATTTCTACATTAAGTCAATCATTTTTATCAACCCATATTATCTGCACTGTTGGCAAAATACCTCATGAAATACTGCATGAATTGTAATGAAACTTTCAGAAAGTAATTAGGTAAACATCTCTAACAGATTTGGACTCAAGCGGATGAAAGATGGCTGCCACAGCTAAGTGTCCTTAAAAACACAAATTGAAATAATTCAGCCAATTTTATAGTTACCGTATTTTCAGCCGTAAACGTTGCACCATCCTATAAGTTGCATCCGTCCAAATATGTCTAATAAAGTGGACAAATCCATAAATATGTTGCTTTGCCGTATAAGTTGCATCAATTATGCATCACTGCTGACAACCTGGAAATGTGGGCCGGTGTTGTACCAAAAATTGATTGGCTGGCAAACGGTGGCTGCGGGAACGTGCACGGGAGGACTTTAACAAGATTAACACTTAAAAACAACTATTTGCTCCACATTATAGTAAATGTGTCTCAGTTTAACTTTTCTTTAATTAATGCATTTTCAAAACCGGATCCACGGAAGCAGGCACGTGCAGAGGGAGGAGCTGCTGTTCATTTCTTCAAAATTTAACAAGATAAAACACCTAAAAACAATTATTGTTTGCTCGACTTTATAGTAAAGGTGTGTCTCATTTGAACTTTTACTTAATAAATGCACTTCATTGGTCAAATCAGCTGCATTTCTCTGGGGCGGTGCAGAGAAATGAAGCTGATTTGACGGTTGCTCCAAGCGAGCTGGACGAAGGTGGCAGATTACGGCAAGCTGATTGTGTCATTAATAGCCACTTTTACCTATTACATGACACAATGGCATGTCATAATACTCGAGTGCCATCTACCTGCTGAAAATGGTAGTGTTCAATATTTTCAGCCAGAATGAATGAAAACGGTCATATCTCAGCCCAAAATTGGTTTATAAATATGGATTAAAAATCCATAAACAAGTCGCTTCGGCGTATAAGTCACAGGGCATGCAAATTATGCAAAAAAAGAAACAAAACGTGACTTAGAGGGCAAAACATACAACATTTAGCTAATATTTATTGTGGCTGTAGCAGAGAGTCAGCCACAACACACAATGAGCATAACACAACTTTGTTTAATACTGGAGTTAATCCTGTTTGTCTGTTAGTAAAATATCCCATAAACCAAAAACTTCCAGCTACAGTTTGGTGTAGTAGTAGTTGAGCGTTATGCCAGTCACAAACTTTAAGCCCAACAGATCACATCGCATCAGATTCCATATAATGTTATTTTCAAGGTGTAACATAAAAACACCATATTAGTCATTTCTAAGATTTATTTAAATATCCGTCATGAACGGCGGCGGGTGATATGCACCCCTTCAATTTATTTGATGAAACTCTTTCTGCTCACATCCCTCCATCTGTTCAGACTTTTTTAATCCAAGGTCAGACAGACAGAAACCTCACAGACAAAAATCTCAGCGCCTTAAAGAAACAGAGGGACAGAAAATGAGGGCGGCCAGGATGAGAGTGAGAAAGTGACCACAGGACAGGAAGACGAGGCTCGTTCTGCTCTGAGACTGAGGAGCAGGCAACCATCTGTCATAACAACAGACGGTTCAGACACAAACCCACTCATGCAACGCTAAAGCTCCCCCCACGAAGAAGCTCAAAGAGAGCGAGACAAACACTCGCAGCAGAAAGGGACTTCCTTTACCAGTCAAACGTGTCTATACACTCGTTTGTGAATAAAACACGTGAGAAATGAAAAAACTGGGTAACGCATCATGCGATTTATTTACGTTCAGAGTGATTTTATATCTAACGGTGAATCCAGTGGTAGCCAGAGCGCATCATTTGCTCCAATGAAACTGGATCTGAGCAGGTTTTCCCACGTTCTCTTTCCTAAAACAAATCTTCCTCATAAATTAAAACCCCCGAGGCTGTTTAGAAAGATGAAGCACGAACTCGGGCGTAATTTTAAAGCTGGCACAACGCAGACAGCGGCACTGTTTGAGAAACGTGCTCTTGGCTGTTCGAACAAAGTACCTAAAGATTTATCGTGTTTATCACAATAACGCATAATTACTTTGAGCAGGTGAGCTGTGATTTTTTTGTTTTGAGGTTTATTTGTCACAGGTCATGATGCTTGTTGAGGCCTGTGTACTCAAAGATAGATTTGCATATTATCTGTGATCCAAATGAACGCAAATAAAGCAGATTATATTTCAAAAATAAATCAGCTGAGGCTTGAACAATAAGGAAAATCACAAAAAGGATCTAACTTTTTATTGACTTTACGCAACAGTCCTTAATCCTCTTGCTGCAGTTGGGTCAAAATGACCCCAGAGATCTGTTTAAAACTGAGGTCATTTTGACCCAAGGACAGCAGGAGGGTTAATTTATGAGAGTACCGCATACGGCACATCATACGCCCGCCAATCAGCTGTTGTACAACAATCTGTAGCAATGGCCCTGACAAGCTTGTACCTTGAATTACTCTGACCTTGATATGTGACCTTCATTTTAAACGCAGGGTGATGAAAAGTGTTTGCAATATTCAGTCTAGTGATGATGGACGTGTGTATGGAGTTTTATTAAATTTTCATGGATCAGAAATTGTGGGTGGGGCAAGAGAAAGTTTATGGACGTACGGAGATCAAACCATCGAACATCGACAGGCGGATAATAAAACGCTAGCAGCCTAACCTTCCTCGAAGCACGCAGGAGTTGTTTCTGCCGTTATTGTGCGTTTGAAGGTCAGTTGGCTGTGGCAGCCACCTTAAATCGCAATAAATAAATCCGTTGTGCATCTAGTTTCATAGAAACCGGTTCCGTGTTTCATGAGATATTTTGCTAACGCTACAAATGAAAACAGACATGCACACAGATTCAGACGGTGGGCGATAATAAGGAAAACGGAGACGCAGACAGAACCACACGCGCACACATCGTACCTGTTTTCTTTGCCATTTTGAAGCAGAGAGTGTCTATCGGTGCTCGTCCGATCCGTACACACGTAAGTGTTCCTTCGGGTCATGGCCCGAGACGGAATGTTATTCTGGAGAAACAATCACAAAACCAAAGATTTTATTCGATACGTTACAAACCAAACAATGCAAGCAAACATTAACGGAGTGAAATACAGAAAAGACTGGGTTTTTGTTGAGAAGTCCTCCTGACCTCACCTTGATAGTCTTGACTCTGCTGTGCAGAAAGGTAAATATTTAATCTCAGGATAATCTGCATATTGTCTTTATCTCTTAGCATCAGTTTTATTCGTTTTCTGTTGTACATCCTCTCAAATGGGTAAATTTGAAGTTTTTATTTCTCACTTTTTATCTGATCTCGACACTAATCTGTGGAAGGATATGCTACACAGCTTCAGTCTCCATCAGTGAAGACTTGAGGTGCTGTAATCTGAAGATACAGGATTAGGCAGATTGAGAGGTCTCTGCCATCTGTACCTGGAGTACTGACAAAGCACACAGTCGACATTCCTTTCCTACAGGACCAACGTACCGTAGTTGAGTTCACTTCCTTGCGTCTGTCGGGTATTTCGGCTTTATTTGGGTTGTGGGCGGAGCTAACCATGGGGCTGGAGGGCGTGGGGATGCTACGGGAGCCCACAGTGGAGGTGCTCGGCTTGCGTATCGACAGACGCTCCTCTTTAAGTCCTGCTCCTTCACCGCTGGGACTTTGTTTGGGGTGAGCTGACCCTGGAGCTGCAGGACCGCCTGAAACAGGAAACCAAGTTCTCAGTCTCAGAAACAAGTTCGATTCACGTTTTCAAGTTTTTAAAGTAAAGTCTGGTCGTTTTTGAAGAGCTGCTTCGTCTAAGAGTTAACAACAGCTAGTACGATATGAACCGTCATAGAGCAAAGAATATGGAGAAAAAGGCAAAAGTCTTTTGTCAGGCTCAACTAATGACTAGACAAGTATCATTAGGCCTGTCACGATAACAAATTTTGCTGGGTGATTAATTATCAGAAATGATTGCGATAAACGATAATATTGTTTGAAATTTGACAATAATTAGTAATTATACTGTCAAATTTAAGAAGAAATGTTGATTAATTTGTTTTGAGTGTAGTACTTTTATTGACCACCGGATGACAGTATAAGACTGTTTGAACCGAAGGATGGATAGTGAGGGAACAAGCAGCATCTCTTTATGAAAAATGGGAGGGAGGCCCCTTGACGTGACATGGGCTGTCTCTCCTTCCTTTTTTCGGTTTACAAAATGGCAAACGCTCGGTGTGGTTTGAGCTCTTTAGCATAGCATTTGTCACACAAAGCTTTTAATAAAAAAACTCAGTAAACAAGTTCTCAACTTCTTTTGGCAGAGAAAAACAACTTTTTACAGGAAGGCACAGGTTTCAACTGTGAATTTTGGAGCTTCGACAAGACGGAGTTGTCAGCAGCAAACTGGTTGATCCACTATGAGAAGGTGCTATTTATAAGACTGAGTTGAATACAGCACCTCAGACTGAAGAAGTCTTTTGGATGAAAGACAAAACGTTTCTACGTTTTTTTATTTATTCTTTTTTGAATGTCCAGAGGACCTGACTTCACCTTTATATATGTCAGTAATATTGATTATATGTTTTCAGTAAGCTGGTATAACCTTACAGTAATTACAGTATAGCAGTCTAGTCTAGAGACAGCGATGACCTGTAGTATAATAATATACAAAGCGATAGAATAGTGTTTCTGAAAAAACAAGACTATGATCTTTAAAGTTTAGCTTAAAATAAATATAACTGTTACTAAAAAACACTGAAGTTGAGTTTTGGTTATTTTTCTCCAATATTGATAGTCTGCCACCATTCTGGCAGTAACCAATGATCCCACGTAGCACCTAGCAAGATGGCGGCACTAGTTTTTGTGGCTGCACAGTGGCTGGCCCATCCAATACATATAAATATATTTTAGAGCTCCATCTTTAAAACCCAAACAGCGTTACGGTCTTAGAATGTGACCGTACAGAAGTCCGAGTGTCGTCTCTGGCGGTGGTAGGTGGAGGCGCTGCGCTGCGGCTTGTGTGCAGAGGAGGAAGACGGTGCACCCGAGGAGGAAGAGGACGTGGAGTGTTTGCTTGTTCCGTTTGAAATGGTGCTTGGGCGCACTCGAGCCAAACTTAGACTGCTGCCTGACCGGGACTCCGTGCCCTCCGCCTGAAAGTGAAAATGACAATAAAATAAGGCATTAACGAGGCGTCAGCACTGATCTGTGTTATAATGTTTCTCTATTTACATAAAAAATGGACACTTGAACTCGTTATGGATCATACATGTTCCTCAGAGGATCTTGCATCAGTAGGAGTAATGCAAACGAGCAACCCACCTCATTCTTGCGTCCGAGCAGCAGGTAGGTGGCGGTGATCTCGTTGTACTTGTGACTGACCAGCGACTCTCGGATCTCGTCTCTGCCGAAGCCCATCCCCACCATCACGTCTGAGAAAAGTCAAATAAAGCTTTTTCTTTAAAGTCTCCAGCTGACAGAAGCAACAGAAATCATTCAAACACCTACACAGTTTAGCTAAAGTTAACAAGGCGGCTCTCTTTAACAATATTCGTGTATAAAACTCGTGGATTTAGCAGGAAAAAAAAAAGGCACCGGTTTAGTTAAAATCTAACTTATTACGTTGCGGACAAAACTATTTATCAAAACATAAAATAATAAAACTACAGAAATATAAACTCTAAAGAGAGACAGATATTTAAAGTACTTGCCTATCTCTGTTACTAAACCTTTTTATTTTTACCGCTTCATCTACGGACGGCCGCCTCATTTAGTGTTTAGTAAATAATTTAACTTTAAAATCGTTTCTCACCAACACGACTGGTGTCACCGAAGTCCTCTTCAGGCTCTATGTGCGGCTTCAGATCGTTACCCTCATAGCCAATGTTAATCCACTTATCTTTCATTATTTGCTGAAATGTGACAGAAAAATTGCTCATTACCATTTATCCCAAATAAACACACAAAGATAAGTACGATAAACATAAAGAGACGTTACATGTGTAATACAGTACTGCTGAATGATAAATACTGACACATTATATTTATAGCAGCATGCTGTGATTCTGTAAGAGTTCTTAAATGGTTTCCGTTTACCTCCAGAGAGCAGCGTTTAGTCGGGTTGAGGACCAGGAAGCGCCGCAGGATTCCCTCACAGTCTGTAGACATGTAGAAGGGCACACGGTACTTCCCCCTTAAAACCCGTTCCCGCAGCTCCTGAAAAATGAACCACGAAACAAAAAGTATAATTTGAACCGCGCGGCTATTAATAAACATGTGGGGGTCCTTCGTAATGGGATTGTTGTGACAATCTAGAAAAACTCAAAGAACTAAAGAATTGAGCGTGCATGCAGAGCGCTGAATGACTCGGCTGAAATGTGCTGAGGAAGCTGAAACTGACTTATGTTAAAATAAGCAGAACTAAAATGAACAGAACACACGTTGTAAATTAAAAGCAGCACAAGAGTTAGAAACAGCAAGCAGGAGATTAATAAAAAAAAAAAGAGCTAAAGTTTGCCAGCTACAACAATACAGATTAAGGATGCACGATATTATCAGCATGGTATCGTATCGGACGATATTAGTGTTAAACTTAAATATCGTTAATATATATTCCATCAAAATAACTCAGATATAAAATATGCTGTTTTTGTTTGACAACCCAGTGACAAGGATGTCTGCAGCGCCAGCACAACGTGATGACGTCACGCGCGCCTACCTGATCTGATCACGGCGGAGGGGAAGAAGTCAAAATGTCGGCGGTGTGGAAGTTTTTTTTCATTGAGGATGTTGGATTCTGAAGATTTTTAGACTACATTGAGCCTCGCTACATCGTCCACAGTCAGAGATGTTTTTCCGACGTAGCCTTACCCGAGTTACAAGCCGTCATATCCGATGTCATTGAGAAGCTAACAGCCAATAGCACTTGGGTGAGTTTTACCACAGACGTTTGGATGTCGTGTTAGCCCCGTTAGCATGATTAGTCTTACGGCACAATGGATAGACAAAAACTTTGAACTTAAAAAGTCTGTCCTTCATGCACAGGAGTGCAGAGGATCCCACACTGCAGCTATAGGAACCTGGAACAAGCCTCCACAAGTGAGACAGCATCACAGGTGACATAACATTTAGCACTTTTCACTTAATATAAGTTAAAGTGATATGCATATCATATGGCTGTTACTGAATATATGTCACCATCTCTTACAGCTGTTACACAATTTTTGTAGCAAATAAGCCTAAATAAGAGGGCTATGCTCTGACAAAGGAACGTGTATTAAAAATATCGGTATCGGTTATTGGCCAAATAAGTTTTAACATATCGGCATATCAGATATCAAACAAAAATCCAATATTGTGTATCCCTAATGCAGATGCTAATATTGGAAAAACTGTAACTAATAGAATCAGATGCTACAGTTATCACCAGCAAACAACAAAGTAGCAAAGTGTAAAATATCTCCCACAAAAACTAAATTAGCTAAATGGTAGCTCAAAGCTAAAAATAGCAGAAGAACAGCTAAAAGCTAAAGGTAGTATAACGTGAATATATACAGTATAAAGTAGAAACATTACTGTTTCAGATGACTCGCCTTTAGGTTCTGTCCATCAAAAGGCAGCGACCCGCTGACCAGTGTGTACAGGATGACGCCCAGGCTCCAGATGTCCACCTCTGGACCGTCGTACTTCTTCCCCTGGAAGAGCTCTGGAGCGGCGTAAGGCGGGGAGCCACAGAATGTGTCCAGTTTACTGCCTTCAGTGAACTCATTACTGAAACCGAAGTCGGCGATTTTGATGTTGGCGTCAGCGTCCAGCAGCAAGTTCTCAGCCTGCAGGACACAACACAGACAAAGACGATAAAAATAACTAAAGACGATGAAGAACATGTGCAATCTGTAGAGTGCAAAGGCTTTCTTTCAGGAAATAAAGTTGATGCATACAAAAATATTAATTTATATACCTTTTATACCTTTGCTACTAGTGATGCAACAAGGCCTGAGTTACAGTTCGGTACCTCAGCATGGGAGTCACAATGTGCTTCCAACAGTAACAGCAAACAAATACAAAGTACTTGTTTTTTTAAACATATAGTAACGCTCCCAGAAGCAGAAACTCAGCCAGGTGAGACTGTAAGGTAAAGGCTCGTGTCAACTTCACTACAAAATAATTATAAGAAAAGTCACATTATTCAATCTTTTCATCCAATCAGAACTGCAGCGTCCTATTTTCCACGAATCAGAAAGTTTGATAAACTCCAGAAAGATATTTTCTTTTGGGGTTAAGAAAACATTACAAAAATAAAACAACTTACTGCAAATAAAAACAAATAAATACACAAACGACTTGCCACAGTCTGTTCCAAAGCACACAATCTTAGCTTGCCATACATCTTATTGCTTTCCACCGCTGCTGCAGGAACCAAAAAACTTTTTTTTTTTTTTTACAAATCTGTTATAAACCCAACAGGCAGGTTTCCATCTTGTCATGTGACAAACCGCTGCTGCACTGCTTTGGTGTAAAGTGCTTCAGGTAATATCTTCCTCTCTACACCGTTTCTGATGTTAGCGGTTCACAAAATGCGTGGGCGTAAATCACTGACCTTCAAGTCTCTGTGAACAATATTCTTCTGATGACAGTAGTGCACAGCTGAGACAATCTGAGGGGAGACGAAGTGAAAAACAACCTCATAATTACACGTATCGGTCTGACAAACTGAAGCTAAATAGTTTAAACATTTACAAACCCGCACTGGCTGACAATATCACACTATTGAGGTGAAAGTTGAACTGCTACGTGCTTCATTTAACAACAGCATAAAACTGCTCAGGTAAAAGCAGATTAAGAACTAAATAAGGAGCTCAGATGTTTTTATTATCTTTTAGCAGGCGCACAGAGTTTTACCAACCTGTCTGAATTTGGCCCTGGCTTCTTTCTCTTTCATTCGACCGTGAGCCACGAGGTAGTCAAACACTTCACCTACAAAACAACAACACCAACAGGGTGAAAAAGACAAGCCTGACAGTTTTCCACAGTTCATTGAGAAGCTCCTGCCTGTTCCCCAGAAAATGTACCTCTCTGCATATATGACTTGTCAATATTCAATTCTTAATAATCTTTTCTCTAAAACACGAGAATTTAAACTCTAAAAGTGGATTTACTGTATGTACATTTCAACTTCTCAGATCTCATAATAAAATTTGGAGTTCACTCACATTTTTTTTCTTCTTGGTTTATTCGAAACAGACTTCATGTTCAAATTTTAAGCAAATCCACGAAACTCATACATTTATTTATATGTTTATTAAATATTTAATCAATATAAAAACCTTTATGAGTCATAATCACCTAACTTTAAACTCGGATATAAAGAGGTCGTGGGCTTCAGACCTGAGCATCTTTTCATTTCCTCTGGATGGTATTAATTTAACCTCCAGTTCTAAAGTTAAAAATCTTGGTGTTATTTTACGATCAGGACATGTTTCATCCCCCACATTCAAAACGTTACTAGAACCACTTTCCTCCACCTGTGTAATATCACTAAAATCGAAAAAATCTTATCTAAAAACGATAAAGAAAAACCTGTCCATGTAATTATAACACCTAGGTTGAACTAATGTAATTGTTAAGTATCTGGGAGAATAAAAACTTCTTTAAAAAGTCTTCAGTTGATCCAAAATGCTGCTGCCAGAGTCTTAACTGGAGTTAGTGGGAGAGATCACATCTCTCCAGTTTTAGCTTCTCTCCATTGGCTCCCTGTCAAATCCAGAATTTAATTTAAAATCTTACTTCTAACCTACAAAGCTCTCAACAACCTAGCTCCATCTTATAGTACAGATCTTATTGTTCCATATTTTCCTAACCGAGCACTGTGCTCTCAGACTGCAGGTTTACTTGTGGTTCCTAGAGTTTCCAAAAGCAGAATGGGAGGCAGATCTTTCAGTTATCAGGCTCCTCTCTTGTGGAACCAACTTCCAGTTTCTGTCCGTGAGGCTGACACATTGTCCAGTTTTAAAATTACGCTTAAGTCTTTCCTTTCTGATAAATCCTATAGTTAACGTTGGCTTGGGTTTCCTGAGATATCCCTTAGTTATGCTGCTATAGGCTTAGACTGCTAGAGGACAAATTGACCACATTTCCACACTCTGCTACTGTCTTTACTTTTCCCGATATTAAAACCACATTCACCTGCTTTGAGCATCACACAATAAGAGCTACTTAATTGAACTCCATAGTTCTGAAGTTTGGCCCAGTTTTAAATCTGCACATGTCCAAAGCCCAGAGTGAAGAACATCAGCTGCTGAGCTGTCGTCTCCTTTTTAGGCTGGTGAAGTCACAGATAACACAATGTACACAAAGAGGAGGTTAAAAGATCATGGAGGGGAGGAAAGAAAAAGACGAGTGCGTGTGAAGCAGCTGCATGACGTCTGAACAGCAGAGGAAACAACTTTCCACACATTTCACTGACAAAAAAGTATTTTGGACATGATTGATCTAACTGGAATGACTCGACGCTTGCCAACAGCAGTACTGGTGGTGGAAGCACTCACCTCCACTAGCAAACTCCATAACCAAGTAAAGCGTCTTCTCCGTCTCAATCACCTCAAACAACTGAACTGTAACACACAGAGGACATGAGATGTTAAATGCCATCATGGGAAACATTTTTACTCACAAACATGAAACCATTCTTTGTGCTGTAACTCACCTATGTTTGGATGGTTAAGAGTTTTCATGATGCGTACCTCTCGAAACAGCTGAAACAGAAACAAAGAGCCACAGAAAACACGATAAATGGTGAGTCAAACGGATGTGAAGCCTTCAGTAAGTTGTTGTTTGTGTAACCCAGGAAAGTAAATGCAGGTAAAATGAATCAGGTTAGTGTTTGTTAGCTTGTGCAGCACTTTTCCTCCGTCATACTCAAGCTCTTTTTGTTTAGTGTCTTAAATTTTTATTTTTTTTGCTTTAATTCCTGTTTTGTGATGATTCAAGATGGTTTCAATTAATCATCACATGAAATTAGCTGTTAATTAGTGCACGTCAGACACAAGATATTATTGTTTGAGCACCAGTCGTTTCTTGTGCGCACTCAAAACTTATGGGTTTTCTCATCCGCACGCAGTATTTTCCCGTGCACACCAAGTAGATTTTTGTGAGCACAAAAAAAACTTTTTTTCTCTCTCCACAAATGTCCCTTTTGAAGCGCCATACTAATTTCATAAATCTGTAATTCACAGTGGAACATATTAAACATTGAAAGTTAGAAATTGTACATTTTTTAGAATAAAATGTGGTAATTTTTAATTTTCTTGCAGCAACACGTCTCTACCTCCACACCCAAGTCGTTAAACATAGTAAGTTATACATTTGATGTCATAACCACTTTCCATCTGTACATGTTTAATCCTTGTCAAATACACGCATGGTTGCTGTAAAACGAGCTTTAGCCTCCGCACTTTTGTTGTGGGCTGCTCAAATCCATTTTGTTGTTCGTGACTTTAAACTTGATTCAAAAGAGATGGAATGGGGCAACGAATTGCTGTAAAAGTTAAAATGACAGGAAATAAAGGCTTGAAATGTTTTTCACTCTGTGCGTAATGAATATATGTAATTAATGAGTTTTACTTTCTGAAACGAGTGACAAAAATATTGAACTTTTTCACCATATTCTAATTTTTTTTAGCTGCACCTTTAAAATGTCTGTGGGTGAGTCCCAGTAAGGTAAAGGCTCCCACATACTCGAGCATACTGTGTGTACTCTGTGAGCAGCGCGGACACTGCGCAGACGGATGAGACTTCATACTCGAGCGTACACCCTGATGGGCTGCAGCTCAGCGCTGCAGGCAAGGGGAGTTTACCTTCAGGACAACGTGAGGTCGCTGATTGGTCCGGCGGCCCTCAGTAGAAGCAGGAGCAGCGGCAGCAGTGTTCTGTGTTTATATGTTGTTAATAAAAAGTTTTAAAATTAAATAAATAAATAAACAGGGAGCACTGGCCCTGCAGCCCACACATCAGACCAGCCCACTGGGAAATCTCCAGACCCTCCCGCAGCCACGCCGGCCCTGATTTTAATTCTCTCGTGAAAAATTCTTTCAATTTTCACAATTTCAGTCATGGAGTCAATAGAAAAAATAAAATAAAAAAACAGAAAAGGCCATTAAACCAGATCAGGGATGAAGAAGGGGAATTTAATACATTGGTGTTGCATACAAAACAGTCCGTCGCCGGGTATTTTATTGTGCGACACGAAGTACGCATACATAAAAACTGATCTTTGCGCAGATATGGCTTGCGGACGTACACTTTGAGTCCACCTCGAGCATGCGCGGACCTCTGTGGAGTGAAGTACGCCCGAGTATGTGGGAACCTGAAGTGTTTTAAGGCCCAGCCTGGCCTGGATTCCACCCTGGTTTTGTGTTGGCATTGGGCAGTCTGGTCCAGTTCCAACTTCATTTGGAAGAGACCTGGGGTTCCATTCGGACCGGGCCGGTGCTGCAGATTTGACATCATCAGATTGCTGGCCATTGATTGGTTCTCTGGCCTGGGAGTCAGTCTTCCAGCGACTGCTCCTTACCTCCACTTCTTTCAGCTACTAGCTTCTGGCTGGTTGTGTGATGGAGAGATGCTACAGTTAGCACCAGAGTCCTGGACCAATGACGAGGAGCAGTTATCGCTGAACTGAGAATCATGCAGTCTTGTTATGACAATTGCGCTCACGTCGAGGTGGAACTCCGCTGAAAGCAAACAAAACCAGAGCCGGGGGTAACCAAACCTGGGCCGACTGTAGCCGATCCAGGCCGACCTGGGCTTTACAATACATAAAAGGCTTAAGTTATGTCTTTGTGAGGGACTGTGGACCTGTCCAGGTGTCCCCTGACTTTCACACTGTGACTGCTGGAGACAGGAGATCAGCTCCCCAACTCATCAGACCTTAAAAAACAATAAATAAAAACACCTTCAAGGATTTCAAGCACCAAACCTTGAACCGTGTCAGTTCAGCTACATTTATCAGTTTTTAAGTAGAAGCTGTCACAAAAAAACCTGTCGTGTGTTCATATTAGTTTTTCTGTTAAGTTCGATTCACTGTTTCCCTTCTTCCAAATACATCAAACTTTGACAAACCACCTCAAGATTAGAGGTCACCCAGGACAGATTCCCGTTGATAATGTGCTGACCCACTCCCCAGGGTGTGCTTCTCTTCCTGTCCCCCTCCTCATCCATCACTGAACTCCAAACTGCTGCCTCATCCTGCCTCTCCAACCTGTTGTTCAATTAAACTAATGAATTTGTCTCTAAATGCCATTAAATAAATCACAGAGGGAATGCATCACGTGTACAACAGAAATTAATTGAAACTTGGCAAATATGACTCTGAAGCTTTTGAATTTATGCTGCCGATGCCTTCATTTCCATTATTTTTTGATGTTATTGGTGACAAAAGTGAAACGTTCTGACCACGAAGGAAAAGCGGTCTTCACCGGGAGGAACAGAGCAAACACAAAATGAGGGCTACACGAGAGTTTCAGAATAAAACACTGACACAGAAAATTATTCATACTAGTGTAAAATAGTAGATGAGGAGTGGGCATGGGGGAGAAAAAACTGAAAACATTACAAAGAAAGAGAAACTGCTAAACGTTAAATAAAAGCTTGATTTTAAATTTATTTGTCTTGTTCATCCAGAGGTCTGCCGAGTGTGCACGAGACCACAGCGTAAGATCCAAACATAAAGGAAAATTTATTTTCTTCCTAATTGATTTCTTTGTCTTGATTAAGAACACAACTCAGACTTTTGTTTGAGGCGCGTGATAAAGGGATTTGTCCGTTTGTGATGCAGCGACAGCTCGTTCACAGGAACGTTACTTTACAATTGCTCAGGGGAAAGTATGTTTATTACTTCACTTGTGTTTTCTCTGCATGACTGGAGACAGATTCCTGGCACTCGGTGGACCCGGACAAAAACAGTTAGCTTTCTCCTGTAAAGCAATCGACTAACCACAAACACACTAACAGATGGATTTCTGCCATCACCTACAGGAAAACTAAATTTAGCGTTAATTTCTCAAAAATGTGCCGCCCCCAATGTGCAACACACAAAAATAAGGTCAGGGATAAAAACGGTTTAAAAGTAGTACAAACAAGAACCAACTGGACAAGCACTTTGCAACTAATTGGCTAATTGGCAACAGGTCGGTAAGAGAACTGGAAATAAAAGAAGCATTTTACAAAGAATGAATCTCTCAGAAGTAAAGACGGGCAGAGGTTCACTAGTCTAAAACAAACTGTGTCCAAAAAAAGTGATCAATTTCTGAATAATGTTTCTCAATGGAAAACAGGAAACACTTGAAATACCCTGATCTCTAGAGTTTATAACATTAAAAACAGATTTAAAAAATCTCTGAGCTTAAAGGACAAGCTGAAAGTCAATATTGGATGGTCACAATCAGCCTGCCTGCCTCTCTGATGGTATGGGGGAGCATTAAAGCAGCTTTAACATTTGGAAAGGCTCCAGTGATGAAGAAAAGCATGTACAGGTTTTCAGAAAAAGCACCTGTTTCCATCCAGACATCTTTACCAGGAAAGGCCTTGATTCAGCACGACCTTACTAAACCACAAACTGGATGGCTCTGTAGAAGAGTCGACTGCTGAACTGACCTGACTGCAGGCCAAACCTCTCATCAAAACCCTGCACTATGAAACAAAAGAAATTTTAAAAATCTGAAAATACAACCCGGGACTGTTGGACAGCTGGAATCCTCCATCAGACGAGAACGAGAACATTACCTCTAACTGATCTCCTCGGGTCTTCCTAAACCTCCAACAACTGGTCTCCTCAGGTCCTTCTAAACCTCCAACTGGTCTCCTCAGGTCTTCCTAAACCTCCAACGACTGGTCTCCTCAGATCCTTCTAAACCTCCAACAACTGGTCTCCTCAAGTCCTCTAAAACCTCCAACAACTGGTCTCTTCTGGTCCTGGGCCTTTTCAGACTGTTGTTAAAAGAAGACAGGGTGCTTCACAGCGGGACACTGGACCTGTCCCAGACTATTGTTGTTGCAATATTAGGATGTCTGACATCCTAATATTAGTCTGAGTGAACGTAAGAGGGCAGAACCAGAGGAAATATTGTCTGACCAGATTTTTGATGGCCTCCATCTTTCTGTCAGGTTCTCTTTTCAGTCCTCATAAAACGAGACGTCAAATAGTCATAAACAGAGACGGACACTCTGGGAATTTGTGTAATTGAATTAAGTGCACGGTGCATCAGCTGTTCGTCAGAGCCTCAAGCAGAATTATTGTCTGAGCCGCTCCTCCATCACCTCACACGCTCCTTCCTTTATTTCGCTCCTGGACCACTAAGTGAGAAATTTAATCTGTGACCCAAGATAAAACACTAAAATAACAGCTGGAAAATCGATTCTGTCACAAAACACGGAGACTGTTAAAATCCAGAGCTCTTGGAAAATTGACAGAAATTTGTTAACTCATTGGTATTGATCCGATCGATGCCTAGTTAAAGCTGTCGTAGTCATCTTGTATTGATCTCCTTCTAATCTAAACGCTTCCTGTTTTTGTCCCACAGGGATGGTTCTGCGTCACAGTTGCCAGGCACACTCAGGTATTAATCCTTGGATTTGGATTTCCTGCTCCCTGTGGGGCTGAGGGAAGCCACAGAACACCAAACAAGGCAGAAGCTGCACACACTCACAGCTGTGGTCATGTGCGAGAACATATATTGGCTAAGAGGAGTTCCCATCCTTCGCTTTTCTGCAGTTACTAGCCTCTCATCAAGTCTCCTTCCAGGCTCCATTAACTTATCATCATCTCCCGTTTGTCACGTTCTGTCCTTGCCAACAAATCATTGCAGTCAAAGCTCTTCCGGTTTTTCTGTAAGGACTTGCACAACACAACCTGATGAAAAACAAAAGCATTTTTTTCTCTTCTAAGATGGCCGCCACAGCTCATCAACCTTGGCCACACAAAAATGGCTAAAACTGTGGACTTTATAGAAATATTAAGCTAAAATTTGGCCTGTTAGTAGCAGACAGTCATTCACAACACATACTTTAAACTCTTAACGTTATAAAATCCAATATGGCTGTAACTCCATCATTTATAAACCTAAGATGATCTTAGCTAAAAACTATAGCATGAAAGATGCAATTACCGTAGTAATTAAGCTTTAATATTAGCATGTGACTTGTTCATCCTGATACTTCCCTCTATACTTCAGTTTGCTCACATGAACAAGAGGACAAGTAGAAAAACAAAAGATGAAACAAAAGCCAAGTTTTGATGACGTTCGTCCAGCTGACATGCAAACAAAAACATTAAAAATCAAGATAGTGATAATAATTATTGTAAAACTAGCCCAAATGAACCTGCATTCATTAAGTGCACTCCCTTAAAACATAAATAAATAACCCGAGATGGGCAACAAAATAATGTGGATATAAAAGAATGCAGTTTCGAAAGCCGTGCATACAAGAAACAAGCAATGTTCAGTGAGACTGCAGCAGAAAATGTACTATATATTTTGGCCTATAAGTTGCGTTTTTTTTTTTTGCATAATTTATATGCCCTGCAACTTATACGCCTAAGCGATGCATTTATGGATTTTTCCCATATTTATAAAACAATTTTTGGCCGAGATACGACCGTTTTCATTCATTCTGACTGAAAATATTCAACCCTACCATTTTCAGCTGCTAGATGGCAATCGAGAAGTATGGCATGCAGTTGTGTCATGTAGTAGATAAAAGTGGCTATTGACACAATCGGTTTGCCACAGCGCCCACCTTCGATTGCCGGGAGCAACCGTCAAATCAGCTTCATTTCTCTGCACCGCCCCAGCGAAATGCAGCTGATTTGACCATTAAAGTGCATTTATAAAGTAAAAGTTCAACTGAGACGCACCTTTACTATAATGTCGAGCTCACAAATAATTGTTTGTAAGTGCTTATCTTGTTAAATTTTGAAGAAATGCACAATGATTCGGCCCTCTGCGAGTTCATGTTTCCGTGTATCGACTTTTGAAATGCAGCTGATATGACCGTCAAAGAGCATTTATTAAGCAAAAGTTAAACTGAGACACACCTTTACTATAATTTTAAGCCAACAAATATTTGTTTTTAAGTGTGAATCTTGTTAAATTCTTGTTAAAAGTCCTCCCGTGCATACGCCTGCTTCCACCATTTGGTAGCCAATCAATTTGTGGCACAAGACCGGCCCACATTTCCAGGTTGTCAGCGGTGACGCATAATAGACGCGACGTATACGGTGAAGTGACGTATTTATGGATTTTTCCACTTTATTAGACGTATTTGGACAATGTGACTTATAGGATGGTGCAACATTTACGGCGGAAAACGCGGTTTGCTTTATTATAAATTTTCGCACAATCTGGAGTCATCAACCATCACAGCTCGGTGAAAACCCACCTTTACCCACATCAAAGGAACCCTGATTCAGCTGGATTCAATAATGATGATTACAGCTACTTTTATGAATGTTAACTAAACCAGAACAAGTGAAACGTAAGAGACACAAAAGCAGAAGGTCGAGACAAAACGCATCAAACTTTTCTTCTTTTACTGTTGTGCACGCAAAACTTTGAAGAAAGGCCTTGTGGGAAAACTTTCCGCTTGTGTTCTTGTCCCTTTGTCGTCAGGCTGGCACAGTAACAACAAAGCATCCAGCAGAAACAAAGGACCAACACAGATAATGGCATTACACGTACATACAAAGGCAGAGCCGAGGGTGTGATGCACTGAGCTTGTTTGCAAGTTTTCATCCGTGCAGGTCCACACACACAGCAGTCTGTCGTCTCTGGTTCTGCTCCATATCTCGTCTTCTTTGGGCCCCTGCTCCTGTGCCAGTACCCCAAACCAGCCCCACCTCCCCATCCCTACACGGCCACCTCTTTTGTTTGCTTGTCTGGAATTCAGCTCCTGGCTGAAGGGGCCTGGGCGAGGGGCAAAATACACTTCACAACATCCACACACACCTCGCTTTTATTGGATAAGCGAATAGACGTTTACAAAATTCGCTGTTTCTCAAAGTAACACCAGGAGACGCTTCGTTGTCACGCAGATTATTCGTTTCACGCACTGTGGAAACGTGCAGCGCACGCACTCGTTCATTCTGTTTCTCTGGTTGATAATGAAAAAAACAAACTGAGGAACAAAACGAGTTTTATATTTACTCCTTTGTAGAGCTCTGAAGTGTCAACCACAAAATGATTTTAACTTTAATGTGCCTGTGGTTTAAAATGATAAACATAGCAGGTATCAGATTGAGACGCTGTCAGACTTTGTACTTATGACAGACTCCGGTCTGAATCAGACAGAAATATTGATTGGAACATCCCTGAAAGTTGGATTCAGAGGTTTAGATACAACGGGATTAAAGGAGATTATTTCTGTAGAGTTGACTATGAGAAGGCACACAGACTTTGTTAAAAAAAAATGTTTAAAAGTAAACTTTTAGACAGATGGGATTCCATGTTTATTTTAACGGCCCATATACAGTACCGACCGGCATGGTTGTTTGGGCTCATATTTAGGGCAGGTGGACTCCTTATCAAACAGAACCGGGCTTTATCATCACAACCAGACCTGAACATGTGACCCAACCAACAAATAATTTGTCAACGGGACGCGTGCGATGGGAAAACTGTTCAAGATGAACGAATGCGTTTTAGCTGTGAAGGTTAAAGTCAACTCGAAACCGGACGAGGACAAAGTTTGGTCATCGGGGCTGGTCCCGAACAAAGAATCTCTTATTTAAAGCGTGAGAACTGCTCTTACAGCTGGAAAGCTGCACGCTAAGGGTGACGGGATTTATTTTAGCCGATTGTGGAGATAAAAAATATAGTTCCTGAGAAAAGCTAAGTTTAACCCTCACACACTTTAGACTGGACACAGCATCACTGAGCTGCACATAAATGTTGCACCATCTCCAAAGCACTGCTACGGACTGGATTGTTAGCTTTAGGTGTGACGTATTCATCAACTAAATAAATAACTAATACAACAAAACAGAAAAAACTGGAAAATGATTGATTGACGTGACAAAAGCATCAAAATGAGTTAAGTTTAATGTAAACAGTGCAGCTCAGTAACTCTCAGTAAGGAGCGACTCACCTTCTGAAGGCTGGTTGGATTAAGTTGTGTTTTATCGATGATCTTTATCGCCACCTGGACATGAACGGACAAAGAACGAGAAAATAAATCAGCTTCTCAATGTAGTACTCAAAAAATCTTGAAATGCACATTTTGAAAAACTGCTTCAATATATTTTTTTTATCAGTGAGAATAGTTTGTTCAAGAAAACATCATAAATACCAAAGGCTTCCATTAAAGTACCAAACATCCATCGCAGAAAATTAAAACCTTTTTCAAACTAAGGGCCAATTTCAGAATCTACACGAACTCTTATCAAATACCCGACATCTTTACTTGGTCACAGGTTCCTCAACAAGAGTTTGATTGGTCTCATTTGATGTTCTCTGTTGTGCTTTCAACATCATAATCAAAGATTACTGGAAAAAATCAAGAGACAGAAGTGTGTTACTTTTCACACATCATCTTGGGGGGCTGCTAAGATGTCAACGAGGGCCACATTTGTCCCCGGTCCTTGAGTTTGACACATGTTTTAGAGGACCTGAGGAGACCAGTTGTTGGAGGTTTAGGAGAAAATGTCCTGTTCTGGTCTGATGGAGGATTCCAGCTGTTCTACAGTCCTGGATCTTCTCTGCTGGATTCACTTCTCTTACTACACTGCTCTGTTCTGCTGATGTGTTAGCTGTTCACGCCAGAGGTACTAATGCACCCCTATACCATCAGAAAAGCAGTCTTCTGAACTGTGAGCTAATAACAGACTGGATGGTTCCTCTTCTCTTTAGTACGGTGGACGTGGTTTCCTAACAAAACTTCAGGACTGGACCCATCCACTGGACTTTGTCTCAGTCCATTTGAAATGAGCTCTGGTCCAGAGAAGATGGCAGTGGTGTTCACAACTGGCTTCTTCTTTGTCTGATAGAGCTTTAAGCAGCATCTGTGGATGAACTGTGTTTACAGATGATCTGTGGAAGTGTTCCTGATCCCAGAGAAGAACCAGACCTGGTTTTAATGCATTGGACCCTGAGGACCTCGTCCTTTGAGCTTTGACAGATTCTTATAATCTGTGGATCAGATTATGAACTGAGATGATGGGGATTAAACTCTTCCAGTGTTTCTGTTGAGGAACTTTATTCTGAAAGTGTTCCAGGAGCTTTATTTTGAAACATTTCCACTATTTTAGACGCAGTTTTTCCACAGACTGGTGAATCTCTGCCCATCTTTACTTCTGCTGGGTTCAGCCTCTCTAAAGTCTCTCTTCATCTCCAGTCCTCTCCCTGACCTGTTGATAATTAACTTCATTAGAAGCTAAATGGTCCTCCAGCTGGTTCTGGTTCAACCTACTTACTTTTACAACATTTTGTTTTGCTGCCATAGAAATCAAATGTACTTTATTTATCTAAAATTTAAAAAATTTCAGATTTGGTGTTGTAATATTTATGAGATATTGTTCATGTGTTTTTAATTAAAAATTTTTTTAATTGTTACTCATCAACATTAGTAAACAATAATTCTGCTTTATGGCTTTCGCTGCTCTTATCAGTGCAACACAACAAAACACAGCAAAGTGAGCGCAAAGTCCAAAATGCATTGTTTTACTGCATTTAAATGAGACACAAGGTGAACTCAACTAAACTGCGAAGCTTTCATAAAGAGTTTTAACATCTGATGACCAGGCCAGTGTCGTAAAACATGGAAATATGACAGAGAACCATTTTATTTGGGTTTAAGTGCAGCTTTCACATGATCAGGGAACAAAACGCTTCCTGAGCCTTGAGATATCAGCTGCACTAATGTAGGTCAGGAGTTTAACGAGAAGAAAGCCCACAGTGTCAAAGAAAACAGACAAAACTTCCATGAAGAAATGACTCGACCGTCTTCAGAGAGCTGAAAGCCTTAAATCTGCTGTAGGGTTCAGCAGACAAATCCTGGAAGTTACCCGAGGGTTCGTATTTCTAAATGAGAAGGGCTTTTACTTTGTAGGATTTTAATTTTTGTTTGACCTCACCTCTCTTCCGGTTAATATGTGCCGTGCCAGCTTGACTTTGGCAAAGTTGCCCTTGCCGATGGTTTTGAGTAGCCGGTAGTTTCCGATGTGCGGCTGCTCGTCGGAACACAAGGCGATGGAGTTTCGACATCGGGCACCGAGCGAGCGGCTCGACCAGCCGGTACCTTTTTCTGAGCGGCTGGCTGACAGCGAGGCATGCTGAGGAGACGAAAACAAACAAACAAGTCAGCTATATGTAAACAATGTCTTATTTATTTCACGTATAACAGAACGCCCATCATTCCAAGTCATAAAGCAAATTAAAATTTAGTTTATTTCTGTTGGCATGGCATGAAATTGAATTGGGACAGTACGAAATGCACTATTAATATAAGAAATAAAAGTTTTTGACCACTGAGATTATTTATCTAACGCAAAACCTGGAAAATGGACTCCAGTTGTTGATGGTGGATTTATAAAAATCAATCATAAAACTCTAAATATTATTTAAATGAATGTTTTCTGTAATTTTATTGTAGTATTTTTTTTTGTGGCAACGTTTTAATCCACTTCGACTAATTTGTTAGGGGACAGGATGGAAATAAATACATGCATATTCTTTTAGGATTTAAATTATTTGATAATTTTATATGACATAAATTAGTATGTAGTTTTGTACACCTGTTCAAGGACAAGAGATGAAACATAGTTTTCAACCCTGGTACTTTTACAGTTATATAATGTTTATTACATATTCTCTGAGCTGGACTTTTAATGCCCGTCTATTTTAAAACAAACATATCTGCAAATGTTTTTATTACACACAAAGCTACACATTAGATGGGTCAAGTTTTTCAAATTTAATAATTTTATATGATAAGTTACTAAATATTTACTATAGCTACTTAATATCAATACACATTTTTAGTACTTTTAATAAGGCAGGTTATAAATACTTTTTAATGAAAGTGACTTAGCTGCAGTTTTAACTGTATTAGTATTTTTTTATTATAATGTAAATGAGAGGAACGCACACCCATCAATCAACATCTACGTGAACAGAGAACATTATAACACTAAGGACCGTTCTGTGGTCATGTGTCCCACATGTGGGCCACATGTGGGACACGTTACCACGAACCCTTCTTCCTTAAACTCTGCAGAGCTGCTGCTGAAACACTGCTGATACAGGATTTTAATTTTTAAACTAACAACTTCAAGCTCTTCATGAACTGCTTTACAAATCTTTGTCTCCACAGTAATCAAACACATAATCAGGACATCAAACAGCCGCTGAAGAGCTAAAAAACCTGCAAACTCTCAGTCCTTCTCCTTTTTTCTTCAGTTTCATTGTGTGGATGCTGATTCAGCAAGAATCAAATTATTGTTTTAGTTTTGTTCGATCTTTTGCTATTTGCAATCGAACTACTTCTGCAGACTTTGTGCTATTTTATTTGTTCACGGGTGAAAAAAATGTCCACCTCCTTCAGACGAATGCTGCGACTTTTTTTTTTAACTTTCATACTTTCCAAAACATTTTGCTTCATTCACAAATATTTTCTTAAGAGAAATACGGTGAGATCGCCTGAATTAGAGTTCTCTTTAAAATCTGTTTCTGTGCATTAGCTCTGTTTTTCTTTTCTTTTGATACTTGTACCTACTGCTCTGCTACCTTTTCAAACTAGCTAGCCTTTTGCTACCGTTTCAGCTATTGTTTTGCTACATTTAGCTAGCATTTAGCTATATGTAGCTTTAAGTTAACCCATTGCTACTTTTGTTCTTTTTAGTATTTTGATTCTTTTAGCTAGAGTTAAGCTAGTTTTAACTTTTAGCCAGAATTGCCTCTTAGGGATTGTCAGCCAAACTGCTGGCACAGCCCTACACACGGCGAGGTCAGTGAACAAGGCCAGGCTGATTCTGGCAGATCCTGATCACCCACTCTATTAGGTTGTGTCCATCTGGAAGCTGGTATCTGCAGCCCAGATGTAGGACGAAAAGACAGAAAAACCCATTCTTCCCTGTAGCGATCAGGCTTCTCAAGGAAGAGTGATGATTTCTGGTATTCTAATGTTTCAATGTCTTGTCTAGTATGGATGTTTTGTGCGTACTGACTGTGAAACAAATTACCCCTTGGGGATAATAAAGATTCTTGAAATTAACTCGAATTGTGCTAGATTTAGCTTTTAGGTAGCTTGTGCTTTTAGCTCTTAGCTAGTGCTTTGTTCCTTTTAGCTCGTGTTCTGCGTGTTTGGGCTTTAACACGTCAGTTTCAGATTCTTCAGCAGCCATTTAACACTTTGCATTCACTGTGTCACAGAAAATGTCATTTCTCTAATTTGTAATAAATATCCTGCAGTGATAAATAAAATCAGTCTGGCTAACGTTAAAAGAACGGCTCCACTTTAACTTCCACAACATTCATAGTGTAAACTGTACACTTTTGTCAACAGTTTATCTACAGCTCTTTTTCACAACAAAAAAATAAAGTTGTATCCGAGTAGTTTTCAGGTCAGCCCAAATCTGATAAGACATATCAGGTGTGACAAACCGTTTCTTGCCAAACTTCAGAAGGAACAGTTTACTATTTTTAGATACTACAGATCTAGATAGTTGCTGTATATAGTTAGTTTTTTTAAATCAAAAGTTTTATAGGGCTATCAGTTTGTTTATTTAGGGTTTTAAGCAACAACAGTAAAATACTTGCAATATGATCACAAAGCCAAATCCGCAAATAAACTGAACAAAACACTTTTTGCTGCCATGTTTCATGAGCTGAACTCAAAGATCTAAGACTTGTTCTATGAACACTAAACCTTTTTCTCTCTCAAATATTATTCACTAATTTGTGCAAATCTGTGTTAGTGATCACTTCTACTTTGCTGAGATAATCCATCCACCTCACAAGTGTGGCAGATCAAGATGCTGATTAGACAGCCTGATGACAGCACAGGCGCACCGTAGGCTGACCACAATAAGAGGCCACTCTAAAATGTGATGTTTTATCACACCGCACATTTCCACAGACGTCGCAGGTTTTCAGGGAGCGTACAGTTGGCTGCCGACTGCGGGAATGTCCAAGTTTAGAGAATTTAGCCGTACATCCAACCGGCCTCGAGACCCCTCCGCTTGACCGAGTCAATATTTTATTTGTTTAAACGAATGTTTTGTTTACGAAACCTTACAATGTAATTGTAAACATGTTAAACAAAACTACTTCTGTATCTAATATGTTAATTTATATAGCACATTTAAAAACAACAAAGTAGAGCAACGCGCTTCACAAACAAGAAACCTGGCAATAAAATAAATGAAAGATCAAACATTAAAAACACACGTGGGCTACGAACAAACTAAAACAAGAAAATAACACGCCAAAGGTCCTGATGGAAACTCAAAACCAAGCTTAAATTTAAAGGACTGCACGGACTCTGCAGAATATTAACGGGCAGATCGGACCAGAGTCTGGGGGCTGCCACAGCAGAAGCCCCCGTCCCCTCTGCGTTTTAAATGCACTAAAAGCCTCTCTGTGTTCTGTCTGGGTTGTAAAAGTGCAACAGATCCATTATATAACCGGGTGCGAAGATATTTAAAACTTTAACATAATCCTAAAATTAATAGGAAAAGTAACAGGCAGCTAGCATGCCAAAAAACTTTTTTTTTTTAAACTTAATATTGTTTTTATAAAATCAGACAACACAGATTGAACTGATTAAAAAAAAAAAATGCTTTAAAGCAGAAATAAAACAAAGAAGCTAAAAGCTCATTGAAAAAATAAAACGTATTACTTTTTGTTTTAAATCAAGTGTTATTCAAAGACATTTACAGAACATAGACATCTTTGTTCCTCGTCTAAATTATTCAGTCTTAATTTTCAACCTTCTCCTCACCCTTCCCCCCCATTTACTCCCCTCATTCATTCTCCCTCTCTCATCCCATCCCCCAAACAAATCAATTTTCATCCTCTCTATTCTCCATTGCTCTCACAGACACACCCTCTCTTTTGTCTCTGGCTGCTACCTTCATTTTCAGCAAACTCACATAAACGTGGGCATCGCGTTGCCCTCCGTCACACCACGTCCACCCCCAACTCGGACACAAAACTCCTTCCGTCTGACCACAGCCACTTCACTTGGTGTGTGCGCCTGTGGTTGAACGGGATGAAATCTAACGTTGCGTAAATGAGTCAGAAAGAATATTTGGAGAAAAAGGTTATGGGCTAAAAACGCTCCCCTTTCATCGTTATAAACGCAACGTGACTCACTGCTGGTGATGGATGGTGGGACGGTTGAGAACATGTTCGGTTGGGTGGGGGTGGCTGTTACAATGTGATTTGCACATTCAGCAAACAAGCTGCACCGTGAACTTGCACCGAGAGAAATCAGATTAAGAGACGACACCCTGCCTGCATCCTTACGTGATCTGCTGTCCTCAGATCTTTGAGGAACTCGTTGGGAGTCGAGGATAATGTTACAATAAATTTGTTGTTTAAATCTGATTTTAAAGCTCTCCACTTGAGACATACCTCCTCTCAAGGCATGAAGAAAACGGTTACTACCACAGTTAGTTTAGTATAGGATGGGCGGTGCTTTTCAAATATTCAAAGTCGGGTAAAGGACAAAGAATCGAAGAATCGACGTGACCGTCACGGCCATCTTTTTAACGCTCACCTGGTGGTGACGCCATGTTGTTTTCTAATAGAGCTTCTTTTTTTTTTTTTTTTTTGCAGAACACCTACTGCCTGTTTCTGTCATTTTAGTTTATTTTGAAGGAATTACAAATTGGAAACTGTGGTCATGGGTGAGCTCAGCTTTGACGCATGTCCAGCACCCCATTTTTCAGCAAAGATCTGGAACAAATGACTGATACAAACCGCAAGACAGTAGTTGAGATTAGAGCCTGTTAAGATACTTTTATCAGCTTTTGTTGTTGTGCTATAATCCTTAGTCCTGCAAGGACAACTGGAACATGCAAATATTCAAAGATAATTCTGATAATCTCCAAATTTAGAGGGTTGTTGCTTAAAAAACATCCTGCTTTTGGATTTTTTACTGTAAAAACTCTGAGAAAACAGTTATGGCTTATATAAAGTTCAAGTCGAACTCTACAGAATGCATGCGATGTTGTTGCCTTCATGGTATTTAAGCAAGAAGCCACATTAGGAAGATAATGTCGTTCTGTAAATTCCTGTGTGGCAGCGGAATGACAACTTGACGTCACTG